TGTCCTGGCCCCCTCTGCTGCTGTGTCCTGGCCCCCTCTGTGTCCTGCCCTCTCCCCTGCTGTGGCCCCCCAACCCCACTGTGTTCTGGCCCCACCCTCATGTCCTGGCCCCACCTGCTGTGTCCTGGCCCCCCGGTGAGCCCACCTGGCACACAGCTGACTTGAGCTGACTTGAATGCAGGCCCCGCCCATTAGAGGGCCCAAGGCCGCCAGCCAGTCTGCCTCAACCTTCACTCATCCCTCATTTCTGAATTGGAGCAAATAGTTCCAAATTTATTTCCAATAAACTGTTCCAAACAAGCTTATTGAAAAGATTATGTGAGTTTAAAAATGCGTACACATCTAAAAATGCACTTACAAAGGTAACAGCTAGGAAGGAGAGCGTGGCGGGAAGGCCAGGGTGCGTGCAGGTGGGGTGGCCCTGTAGTTGGAGCTGGATCCCACTCGTCCAGAGCAGCTCGGGTTCTGGCCCTGGTGGCTGAGGGACGTGCTGGGCCAGCCATGCATGTGCTTGGGGTCTCTGCAGGATGGAAAGGCGGAGGGAGAGGGATCACGGCATGGCCACCCCGTTGGGTGCTTCCTCCTCTCTCAGCGGAGCCCGTGCACCTTCTGGCAATTAAAAAGAAAAGAAAAAGGGGCCTCCGGGAGCATCTGCAGGCACTGTGTGTGTGTGTGTGTGTGTGTGTGTGTGTGTGCGTGTGTGTGCTGTGACCAGGGCTTGAATGCACCTCCTGACCACAAACGGTCTCTCTCAGGCCAGGCCGCCCCTCCTGAGCCCAGGAGTGGGAATGAGGGCTGACCTTCTGGGCAATCCTGTGGGCTCCCACAGCAGGAGTAAACCGCCCCGGGCCTTGTATGTCCCAGTCTGTCCCTAGGCAGCCAGGCCCCCAGCCACTACTTTAATTCTGAAATGGCTTTGACTCCATTTGGGGCTTAGTCCTGCAAGCACTCTCCAGGAAGCAGAGAGCAAGAACTATAAGCCCCCCCAAAGAGAAATAAGAAAACAATGCCCGCGAGGCCTTGGTCGGCCCTTCAGCCCCCACGGGGGTGACGCGTGAATGCCTCCGTTACCGTGGAGATGCACTCCGAGTTCCAGATTCCATGCTTGACTGGCCTAGCCAAGAGTCACTCAGATGCTGGCCTTGCCCTCGGAGACTAGCCCAGGCCAGCCCGGCCCGCTGCTCTTTCTTCTGTGGGACGCGGGGTGCCGGGGTACCCCCGCTGCCTCCTCAGCCTCCCTCTGCACGGCGCCCTGAAGTGGGTCCTGCCCACGGTAACCTCGGGGGCTGACACACGGTTTTGGTTTTCCGGTATATTTGTGGTAAACCAGGGAAGTGGGACAACACCCGGAAGGTCATGGACTGAGGGCGGGGGTCCAGCCACCACGAAGGTCTCAATCGATGGTTCTCTGTCATTTCAGGTCAAAAAGTTAATTGTTTTGGACCCTAAGAAACGGCTGACTACTTTCCAAGCTCTTCAGCACCCGTGGGTCACAGGCAAGGCCGCCAACTTCGTGCACATGGACACAGCCCAGAAGAAGCTCCAGGAGTTCAACGCCCGGCGCAAGCTCAAAGTGAGGCGGTTTGTGCGGGTGGTTTTTAAGAAAGAGACCCCTGGTTGAACTACAGTGATGCCCTCCCCAGCCTTCACCTATACACACTGTTTTCCACTGTGGCACCGGCAAAAATCCCGTTTAGAAATCCTGATGGTGCTGTCAGAAGGCCACTTCTGGTCTTGTCGTTACCCTCTCCTGAGGAGTTCATTATAAATAAGGGAAATTGGTCTAATGTAGAAATGTACTCACAAAATGCTTCTCATCTAAGTAACGCTAAGCTACTTGAACAGCATTGGCCAGGAAACTGCTGTGTAGTCTCAGAATTGTCTTTCTGAGTACGGGAAAATTGGGAACTAGGCGCTGGCAGGTGGTATAGTGGTTAAGGTGCTGGACTCCCACATGGCCAACTGCAGTCAGGTCTGGACCCGGTGGCTTGCTTTCTGTTTCCCTCTCTCTGGTTAAATTAAAAAATAATATTAATAAATAAAACTAAATAAAATAATGTTTTTTAAAAATTGGAGGAACCAGCAGTTAGCATAATGGCTATGTCGCTGGACTCCCACGTAGTCGACCGCAGTTCGCGTCCCGGACTCGGTGGCTTAAAACTCACACCGGGTGCGTGTGCATGCGTGCCCAAGATCCCGAGGGGAGAATGGAGGAGAAGGGATTGCGGCATGGTCATCCCCCCTGGGGGGTGATTTCTCGCTTTCTGTCTCTATGTCTCCCTCTGTCTGTCTGGCGAGCACACATGCCCTATAGCGAAAAACCTCTCAAAAAAAAAATTGGGAAATAATTTTTGAAACTGTATTTAGAAATGGGGCAAATAATTATTATATTTGGCAAAAATCTAAGTGATTAAACGATATAGAAAATATTCACCAAAATATTTCTGTTTTTACAGGATATATATGGAATAGCGATCAGGTGCTTTTTTATTATATAATGGTATTTAGGACTGTCAGGTCGTCGGCAAAGTCATGACACATATTTTTCTGTTTTTCTTTGCAAAAATGCATCATGACTTTTCTGATTACCCCAATATAAAAGCAGAGGATTTTACACAACAGCTGGGAGTCCAAAATAGGGTTCTGGTCAGCCTTTACTCATAGGCTGTTAACGGCTAAATAAATCTGAAGGGCTCCGCAGTTAAATTAATTTAAATACACTGGATTAAATCCCATTACCTTAACCTGGGCTTCTTCTGAGTTAAATCAATTTGACTGTAGGACTGTTTTGTCCTCATACTACCTGCTTACGTCCATGGACTGTGTGTTCCATGAAACAAGCTCTTCGGGAAAAACGATCTAAAATTTTTGAAAACTGCTCATCCGCAGCTAACACCTTGACATAGGCTTTTTTTAGATGACTAAATTCACGAATCTAGAATTAAGGAGGTTCAGCTGCTCATTCTCTAAATAAGTTTTCTTTCAACAATCTTGGAGCCATGTCCTTTGAGCGCTAACCGACGAAGCACACGCACTAAAAAGTGGAGTCAGGGTGGAGCTCTGCTGTGGGCTTTTACGTGGCTCTAACACGCAACCCTTTTCCGTTTGCAACCAGGCAGCGGTGAAGGCTGTGGTGGCCTCGTCCCGCCTGGGAAGTGCCAGCAGCAGCCATGGCAGCATCCCGGAGAGCCACAGGGCCAGCCGAGACCCATCTCCCACCCCAGAGGGCAAGGAGGACATCAGAGTGACTTCGGAAGAAGAGAAAATTCAAGGAGGTGAGGCCCCAGTGGCCGCTAAGGGTGCAGAGGCTGAGCTGATGAAGGTGCCGGCCTCAGAAGAAGCTAAAGATGCAGAGAGAAAGGCTGAAGAGGCCACCAAGGTGGCGCCCGAGGTACTGGAGGATGGCATGAAGGCAGCTGACCCACAAACGCAGGAGGGTGCGGCAGAGAGGCTGAAGACTGTGGAGGAAGCCGCAACCCCCATGGAAGGGCAGGAACCCCCTGCTGCAGGCCTGGCAGTTCCACAGCAAGGTGTGATCCAGCCAGAGGACTAGGCTGGCGCCCTTCGGATCCGTAGCCAGCACCCCGGCATTTTCCGGACTTTGTCCTTCAGCAAGGAAGGTGTGGAAGCATGGTGTGCACTATAGTGATTCTGTTTTGAGGTGCAAAAAAAATAATAATAATACAAATATTCCAGTTGGTAATCCTAACTTCAATGCATGTGACTGCTTTATGAAAATAATAGTGTGTTCTATGGCATGTAATGGGTACCTACCTAATAGTGATGAGTTACATTTGAAATCGCAAGTGAATACAACGTAACACTGAAAAACACACTTTTCAGCAACCAGTGGCATACATTTGAAATGCATTGCAGCAAATTATTTTTGCTTTGAAAACCCTAACCTTCCTACATCCTTCAGATTCCTTCATAAGGCAGTAATTTCTTTGAAATACTGCTTAGGTAATATTAGGTAATGCTACAGGACATGGTCCCATGACTTAAGTGACATTTTATTTTTCAACATTAATGCATTCAGTTTTACAAAGAGGTGCAGAAGGACCCCACCTAACAATGGTAGGAAACTGAAGCATACTTTTAAGGGCCACGAAACAGTATATTCCTAAAGCCTACATGGAAAATACCTTTTATTCTTATTTAATGGAGGAACAAAAAATGTGAGAAAGAAATGGAGATGAGATTGGGACTTAGACTGGTGAAGGTAACATTGATTCCTTTTCGTTTCCCCGACGGAATTGTATTTACCTGTGAGTTTATACAGCCTTACAGATAGGCACGTGTGTACACACACACACACACACACTCTGTAATTACCTAGTCTAAAATATTTCTCAAAAATCTATTCCACAGGTTGGTGCCAACATATGAACCAAGTGGGGGTAATATTCTAGTATGAGGTCATTCATTACTGCCTCTGCCACGTCAGGAATCATTGTATACAAGGCCCCTTTTTACTTGTTAGGGTGCTCGCTCAGTTACGATTATGGACTGCAGGTATTTATGAAAAGTGCATATATCTTTTCCTCATTTTAGATTACAAGTGCCCACATCTGACAAAGTAGTTTTGAAAATTTCCACGCCAAGAAACTTAGCACCATGATACAATATATTTACCTTAAAGAACAAACAAAAATAAAAACACTGATTTCAAATTGGACTCTTAAGAAACTAGAATATTAAACTTAATATTTTGGAGTTTTTTCCCCCAGAAAAAAAATATAATTCTTCCTCAATTTTGATGGGAAGCATGTCCCTTAGACAAATCATAATAAGTCCAAGTATTTCTAGTTTGAGTTGAAATGAACATTTTGTGAAATTAATTATGTATCACATTTTTGGTGGGTTTCTTTCATGTTAAAAACTGATTATTTTCAAAAACCAAAAGGAAGACTATGAAACCGACCATGACATAAAAATGATCAAGAGAAAGAGGGATCTTAAACTCTTTTGACTCTCCCGCAAAAGTATTAAATTGGGAAATGAAATTAAATCTCTAGATTTTGGAGGCTGTTGGACTTCACACGCTCTGCTCCCAAATACATATCTCCCTTTACTATCCTCGTGAGAAGGAAATGAGGATTTTTGGTCTTCCAGTTTAGGGATCTGATAGGTTGCTGTCATAGCAAAAGGCCTTGGAACAGCATGGCTCAGAAGATTTTTTTTTTCTATTAACTTACTTTTTTCCCATTTTTTTTTTTCTTTCTCCTTTAATTATTCCCTCTCAAAATTCCATTTGGGCTGTTCTAAAGGGCTCACTGTTTTTAATCTTTAAGATAATGCTTTATCAAGCATGAAAATGTCCACGTAAGATCAGTTTCCTGGTCTACGTTTCCCCAGGCACCTATAGCTGTACACAGTAAATGCCCCACATGGCAGAAGATCCACGAGGGGAGGGAGGAGTCTATTAGAAAGCTGCAGCCCTCCCTCTTGGGCCTCCCGCCATGGTTCCACCACTAGGGCTGACTCCGTCGTGGGCCATGCAGCCTGCAGGGCGAGGATGGCCCATGCCAGGGCCGGTGCGCTGTGGACTTGACCCGTCTGGGTGAGTGTACGTGGCATCTGCTGGGCAGTATGCCAGCTGGTGAGGGGAGCCCCCACTAGCTAACGTGTGGCTTCATCCTCTCAAAATCAATGGGGTTTCACGTTTTGACTCACACTTTGAAGATGAAGTCCTGATAGTGCTCCCATGGTAATCCAGTCTTTTCAGTGAGAAACAAGTCAAACTTTCACATAAATGGGTCATCCCAGTCATATGGGTCAGAGGTATCATAGAAGTACAACCTGAAGCAGGAAAATTACATTAGCATTTTTGAAGTAATAGCCAACATTTATATTGCTTGATAAAATGGGGCAGATTCCCTATCACAAAGATTTGGCTAAATAATGTTAGACAAATAGGGACTCAATTTGACAAAATACTTTATAGCATTATTCCTAATTGACAATGTAGTCACAGGCCAAAAAAAAAAAATTAATCTCAAAGAACAAAAAAATTACATTTTGTATTTTAGAGCTGACCACCATCACATTCCAATATTGGGTTTTATGTTGAGATAAGTTCAAATAAATAGCATAAACTAGATTGTTTTACCATGAAAGATAATCTTGAATTACATCTGTTGTTTAAAAAGTCAAATTAGAATTCCAGTGGTTTGGGGACCAGCAGCAGGTGGTGTGGTGGTTAAGATGCTGGACTCCCATATAACTGACCATGGTTCCAGTCCTGGGCCTGGCAACTTGAAAATCATGCTGGGTACATGTGCATGCATGCCCAAATCTCAAGAGGAGAATGGAAGAGAAAGGATCATCCCCGGGGTGTGTGTGGGGGGGTGAATTCTCACTTCATTCTCTGTCTCTCTGGCAGACACATGTACCCTATGGCAAAAACCCAGAAAGAAAAAGAAAGAAAAAGGATTCCATTGGTTTGTCAAACTTTAAGAGCTCTTTTGTCCCAGGGTAGAAATGAGAATGATATGGTTCTAGAAGTTCCTGCTCAGAAGAGTGCTGTCTAATAATAATATAATGCAAGCCATATAGGTAAATTTTATATTAGCCACATTTTAAAAAATAAAAAAGATGAAATTGTATATTTTAATGTAATATATCCAAATTATATCAGCCTATTGTCAATATTAAAAACTAATGAGCTTTTGAATTCTTTATTTTTATACTGAATTTTCAGTGTCAGGGGTGTGTGTTCTACCTTCAGTATATCAAGTGTTCAGAAGCCTCATGTGGCCAGTGGCTACCAGCGCAGAGAGTACTGCTCTAGAGTCATTTTAGTTATAAGCAAAGTGACACTTGAATTTATGCCTAGCTTTGGGCTGCCTATTTTCCATGTTGACAAGTTGGGAAGGCAAAAAAAAAAAAAAATCTTTTAGAAATGTTACAGATATGAACTATGTATGTAGCTTGTTCTCCACTCCTGCCCGTTCATGTGCTTCAAAGAAGAGTTTTCCACCCTGACTTTAAAGAACAACGCTTTCCTGGGTCTTGCTAATTGTCTGTTAGCCATAGACCCTGCGACTCCTCTATGGGCCCTGAATTCTTGACCACAGTCTAGTGAAGCCAAGAAACCAATTACTCTTGCTTACCAGAATGGAACGCTGGCTCACCGCGTGTCCGCATTCTGGAAGGCCCGTGCTCAGAGTCAGATTGTGCAGGCCTGGCCCAAGCTGGATGCCATCCTTGAGTTCCAGGCAGTGGGTTTTCCTAGAGACCTACTCACCACCCCTGGTTTGCTGTCAGCTGTGTGATGATGGCGATGCCCCTTCTCCCTGCTGTGGAACACGAGCACAAGCTGGTACAGGGTCCATTTCCTTAGAAGGACTCGATCAACACTGCCATTACACACGGACTCAAAACACTTCAGGAACTTTCTTACATACTGATCGCAGAATAATCCTCGAGATCCTACAGTCATCCTTAGCGCAGACTTAAAAAAAAGGAGCCGTCTGCCTTTCCTGTGACACATTTGAGGCGGACTTTGCAATTCAGAATGTTACCAATCCCCGTTTCTACCTTCACATGATGGGGCGTTGCCTGCAGGTCGAATATTTGGAGCCATTTTCTTTCATAACTCAAGTTTTTATTGCACAGAAGCAGCTGGCTGCATTTCATACCAGAAAAGGCAAAGATAAGATTAGTAAACCATTTATTCTGTTTTACTATTATTCTTGCAAAGCAAATTTAAAGTCCACAGAGTGAATCAGTACTAAGCTTTTCTTGATAGAGGTTGATTCTACATGTAATTGACAAACACACAGAGCAGAGTCATTATATAATTATGGTGCCATTATGTAATTTAATTGTCATTACAGAGTATTCAGTCTGGTTAACTGGGTCTACTTTAGATGGTGCAAAGTTTCCAGACATTTACCTATGTAATAGGATTTGTAATATCCTGTAATTCCTGCCTATGAGGTCATATTCCGATTTCCGTAATGCTCATCACTGGTTATGTTCGTGAGGGGTCACTGCTAACATCTGAGCATTTACTGGATGAATACTGCTTAATGGTTAGACGCTGTGTCTGCAATTTTTAAAAATATATTTATGCACATGGAATCTCAATGTCGACATTATAATATCCAGAACTGCGTGATAAGCAGAAACGTACCCAATAATTTTCTACAAATTTTTTTTCAAAGTCATTTTATTTCGCGAAACAGCTCAGGGTGTTTCTGGCTCCTTGACAAATAGAAAAAGGAGAGAGCGACTTTAGGAGCAATATTAACTGCCTACCCAGGATAAACGAGTTCAGTCTACACTCTTCCCAGGTTTCGATCTACTAAGAGCAAGCTTTTGTCATTATTACTCCTTGAAGATGTTATCTGTGACCAGGTGATGTCATTTCAGCTCCTGACACCCAACTATTTCAACTATTTCTATACTTATCTAGGAGAGCAATAAACTTGAATAATTTGTTTGACTTTAAAAGTTCCAGTGTTCAAAAGCGCTCTGTGGTGTACCCGTAACGGTGTACTATGTGAGTGTAACTTCCTCCACAATTCGGTCTGTCCCCGTCATCTGGGACAGAAGTCCACCTAGGGCAAGGCAGAAGCTTTGCCGTACAAGTGCAGCATCTGACTCGTGCACAAGAACCGGGCATTCTCAAGAGAAGACTCCGGGCTCCTGATCCGCCTGAGCGCCGATGAGCCAGGTGGGAGCCCTGTTCCCGTGCGCTGACGGAAGCGATGCTGTTTGAACAGTGGTATGGCCATTACTCAGTGATGGACAAGTGAAGTTCCTCCAGTCCTTTGCTCTCTCCCCATCTCCACCTGCTGCCACGTGTCCCAGATCTATGTTCTGGTCCATCCCTACAGCAATCAGGCTCTCCCTCCAGGACTGTGACGTCTTCCAAGCCCTCGCAGGAGCAATCCAGACTGGCTGGAGAAACGGATCATCTTTCACAGCCCAGAATTTCGTTTGAAACTAAACGGCAATGCTAAGACTGCAGAATCACGCTGTTCTAAGTATAGCTGTTTTCAATGCATTTGGAAGATTGGAAAACCCCTAGATACGAGATATTTTTATCCATGTAATGTTGCTGCAATTCACTATGTTAAAAGTGACATAGTTAATGTTCTGTCAGACTAAATACGAATTATTTTCCATGTAAAACTTTTTTTGGCTATTCAACTACAATAGGCTTTACATTAGGATTTTTCAAAGCTATTGCTTCCCCTAAGCCCTCTCCCAACTCCGACAATCAGTTGCAAAAGATAAAAATGGACTAAGTTTGCCCTTCCTTTGCCCTCTTGGATACATACATAGTCGTAATCTGTTTTGTGAAGGATACAATTAAGTATGACTGTAAATTGCAAACTCTTAATTTCATAGCTGCCTTTTAACCTGACCTATTTTATATATTTATAATGCAATAGCGTGAAAGACAAATTGTATATTCATAATTTATCATTTCGGTTTTTTGTCCATGGCACCCTTTCTCTTAGCAGTCTTTTCATGGTCCTCTGTAGGCCAAGGAGTGTTCTAGCGTGTCCATTTATTAAGCCGTTAGGCCCAAACAACATAGTAATAGCAGTACTCCTTCAGTCTGTCCAGCAGAGGTCGCTGTATTTCTCTCCAAGTTTTAAAATATTTTAAAATACCCTGTGAGTTCAGTGACTGGGCAAGTTGACTTAGGCATTGAAGTAATTCCTTATGTCCAATGAACTAAGGCAAAAGGGATTATTATAAACAATAATGTTAAATGTTCACTCGCTTGAATGCCGATCTTTTTTTTTTTTTCAATCTTTGGCCTTTGAGATGTACACATAAAATAGTCATTTCCGATTCTTTTATAAACAGCAGTTTCCAAAGAATTACCAAGGAATTTAAATCCGTAAAGAGCAGTTTTCCAGAATCAGGCAAACTGAGTACAGAGCATGTGGACCTAGGCCCGTTTTTATGGAACACAGCCCGCACACGTGTGTGTCTTGTCTGTCTGCTTTCAAGCTGCCATGGCGGGGCTGGACGCTCAATAGAGACCACATGGCCCACAGGGTCCGGAATGCATTAGCGGCTCTGGGCAGAAAAAAACGAAACTGACCACCTGGTTTCCATGGCACCCATACCTTGTAGAGCTTCTAGGAATGCAGGTTTCTGCAGTGCAGTATTCTTCCCCCAGCTTGAGGTTTCTATCCCCACTTGCCTTTTAGGAAGTTAGGAGACTTTTGTTTCACGTTTCAGATGGTCTCACGGCAACAGGCCACTAGCTGCACTGGAGATACAGCCTAGGGCAGCTCTCTGCAGAGCGGAGTTCAAGCTCGCGTCGGCCCTGGAAAAGGAAGCGAGTTGGTTGAAGGTGGAATTAAAGATTAGCATTTGGAACACGTGTTAGAAGTTTGATCCTGACATTTAGAACTGTGGAAATGACACGTTAAACTGACACGAGAGTCCTTTGGTTCTGAATCTCTTACAGTATCCTCCAGTAGTTTGTATCAACTGGATTTTCGTTCATCATTTTGTGGAAATAACGTGCATTCTGCAGCGTTCATGACAGTTACCTGCTCAACAGTAGCTCAGGGAACAGCAATGAGCCAGCTCCTATGTAAGAGAGCTGCTTTCCAATCTTCGTGCTTTTCTAAATTTTATACATTTCATTTTTTTGAAAAGGGAGAGCCTTGAGTAGATGTTTTCATTTACTTTTTGTACATAGCTGGAAACCCACGACAGCCCTTCTGGGTCATCCTCTCTGCAGCACCTGCCTGCTGGAAGCAGGCGGCCCTGGTGTTGAGAGGGGCACTCGTGTTCATGCCCTCTGTGTTTCAGCCTGACTTTCAGCCTCTGGACCTAAAAAGTTACAAACGGGGTATTGAGTAGAAAATAGGCTCGTTGTTAGAAATCCTAAAATTACATGGTGACTCTAAATAATACAAGGGGATTTCGAAAAGATCGTAGGAAGTGAAATTAAAGCACAAGCTTATTTTGGTGCCAGAAACATTGAAATCCATGCATTGCTTTCATAATACGTATTTCTGTGAATTTCCTGACTCCTTGTAAGCTGTTTTCTTCAAGATGTTGCCACAGTCGACGATAGGACAGCCCCTGGGGTACCCGTGGAACTCAGGAACACATGACAGGCCCCCCTGCCAGCTCCTCCCTCTCGATGGGTGCAGGAGAGCGACAGAGCAGGCGAGGGAGGAGGTGACGATGTAGGTCCCCGTCTTCATGCTCAGCGTGGCAGTCGGTGATGGACTCACGTATCTTAGAAACGC